AAAAAAAAAAAAAAGATAAATATTTCAAGTAAATTTTGTAGGGGATATTACCAGTTGCACCTAAAAGTTACTTCCTAATATAGATGGTCTCCTAAGGAGGACAAGCCGTAGAGAGAAAAGGCTAGAATGTGAGAGAACGCCTGCATGGAAGTACCCAGAGCAGCAAAAAAATGGACCCAAAGATGAGCTTCAGTAATTTGCAACTTTGCTTCAAGTTCTGGTCATACATTTTGCTTTAAATTATTTTACCCTTCTGAAAAGCTTAAGGGAATATTTTAAAACATGCCAGAAACCTGGCCTCCAACTGAAGTTATTAAGACTATGTGTCAGACACTGGCGACCCAAGATTAATCTGGTATAAAATCAAGAATATCTACCAACCAGTTATTCCTCTCCAGCCCACATGTTCTATGAAAATACAAATAAATTATTCACAGTTACAAAAAGATAAGTTTTAGGAAATCTAAACTGTCAGCAAAGTGACTTTTATTTGTATTTGCCATATAAATATACTATTATTTAGCAATTTGTCCAGACACGAAAGATGATTTATGAAATCAGTAAATACCATTTTGAAAAGAGTGTTCTGTCACAAATATTTTACCAACTTTAAAATTGGTCTATTCAGCAAGTCTTAATTTGTTCCTTCAGCACTTTATAAATGGAATTTTCTTCTACTTGTATCCATTTCTCGGGGCTGTAAATTAGAAGGGGATGGGAAAAAAGAAAATTGATCAACAATTCAGGTGTGAGTGAATATTAACTCCTTTAGATCTTTACAATGCTGAAAAACTCGGGTTTTTCTCGACCCTGAATAGTTAGTCTCAGGTCTAACATAAAAGATGTTGGTGATTACTCTCTTCAGAGTGTGTGTGTTAATTTTAGAGTAAAAACGTTACCTTAAGTCCAGCTTACTAGACAGAAAAGAACGTTTTGTAACATTGAGATTTTCATTTATGACTTAAGATGATTTCCAAACCTCTCTATGTAGCAGTAGTTCTCAAGGAAGGAACATACAGTTCAACATGGATCTCATCCTGTAAGTTACTGATCCAGTAGGT